CCCTCTCCCTCTTCCTATTGCTCCCCCTGTTTCTGCTCTCTCTATCTCTCTGTCAAATAAATAAAATCTTTTTAAAAATTCCTCAAAACAAAAACTTTAATCTTTAAAAATGGAATATGTCTTATATATCATGCTGGGGGGGGGAAAGGAGGTAAAAATTGTAAAGTTAAAAAAACTGTTAAATCCAAGTGATTTGTGTTCAGATCTCCTGTTGCTAAGTACAGCATCTGATAGCCATCTTGAAATACTGATACATTTCAAGATAGACCATTTTTTATTAAATCTACCATTTGAAAGGTCAAGGTGTTCTTGTGATATCTCCTATGTAAAGATCTTATTGTACCCCAAAGTAGTTTCCGAGTTTTTCATTTCAAGCCACATTTCTAAATCTTTCAATTTTCCACAGCATACCTGAGATGAAGACAAGCAAAGAGAGTGAGTTCCACAGCCATTGGTAAAAACTGGTGCTGAAGGATGAGGAATTATTTGTGGAGATGGTAGGAAGATTATACCTCAGAAGAGAGTACACGAAGATACAATAATTTAGTGAAATTAAAAGAGAATAACATTATTAGAAATAAACCTTAGCAAAGTAACTTGGCTTAAGTTAGAAGTCAAAGGAAAGCCCCAAGAGTGACCATGATATGGGAGGGCATGAAGTGATACAGAAATAAATAATATCAGTTATAGTGATAGATCAGCGAGGGAATACTGGCCTAAAAACTAGATTTAAATTCTAATATTTTGATTAACATCCTTTAGCACTATCATCATTGAGAAAACTCAGTCTTCAATAATGATCACTATATCTTGTATAAATTTACTGAGAGGTTAAAAAAAATTCACAATTTTAAAATATTAACCAATCTGGCCTACACCACCTAATAAGTTAATCACTTTTCCCCTCCTCTTCATTACATAGTAAGACTCTCACTCTCTCTCTCAAACACATACGCGCACACACACACACACACTCAGAGGAAATCTTTTAACTGAAGTGTGAACTGAAGTCTTTTAAATTACATGTACATAAATATTAAGGAATAATAGGAACTTACTTTCTTCTTCCTTCAAATACTACTTTTTCTCAAAATATGCTTGTTTATTTCCCTGCTGGAATTGCCACATTGCTCCATACTGCTACACGTAAATCTAACAAAGAAAATTAATAAACTCACCCAGAAGGGATGTCAAAAAAGAATACTGATCATGATGGAAGTACAAAGGATAAGTCTCATTTGCAGCCGATATAAAAATATTTGCAAGGCACCTGAGTGGCTCGTCAGTTAAGCATTCCACTCTTAGCTCAGGTCTTGATCTCAGGGTCATAAATTCACACCCCACGTTGGGCTCCACGCTAAGCATGGAGCCTACTTTAAAAATAAACAAATAACTAAAATGAAAATATCTGTATTAAATACCACATTAAATGGGGCACCAGAGTGGCTCAGTCAATAAGCATCTGTCTGCCTTCAGCTCAGGTCATGATCCCAGGGTCCTGGGATGGAGCCCAGCATTGAGCTCCCTGCTCAGTGGGAAGCCTGCTTCTCTCTCTCCCACTTCCCCTGTTTGTGTTCGCTCTCTCACTGTGTCTCTCTCTGTCAAATAAATAAATAAAATCTTTAAAGGAAAAAAACCCTACACACATTAAGGCAGACTTTGTTTAGACAAATTATTATTTTATATCTTCATATCTACAAAATCTGATTATGCCCCCAAACTGACCTGCTTGCGTAGTAGAAAATGGAAAGAAACCTACTTTCCCACAACACTATAATGACATGCGAAATCATGTCATATGAGAATACAGCGATTTCTAAAATAAAATACTATAATAGGATACATTGAAGTAGGAAGGGAAAACAGAGCAAAAATATTCAACTATTAAGGTCCACTCAAAAGTAAAAATCTACAAAAAACATAAGTGATTGAATCTGTATCTTTTCAGATTGATCTGGATTACAGATGATTCAGTTTGCACTATCATTTACTTTCAAACCAGTAAGGAACGACTACTTGAAAGAGCACCTTAGTCAAAAAAACAACAAAAAAAAACAGGTGGGGTAGTAGCAGTTTTACCATAACTGTTTTACTAGTTCTTCCCATTTATATTTAGAGGCAAGAAAAACTGACCATGCTCAACAGTTATAGTAACCCATAAACACCAATTTCAAAAACCTTTTAGGCACTAACTGGGCTACCAATTGGCATAGCATGCCTGTGAATTATACATGACAGAGTCCTGTAAAAAAAACAGTTTGTATTACTATTACTCTACTTATCTCTATCACCACAAAACAGGGTTAGGTTTTCAATAAAGATTCTTACTAATTTTCACCAAAATACTCCACCTACCAATTTAAATATATAAGCTTTTTAGAGATGGAAAAACGGGACTAAAGTCCATCACTATTAGGTCTGAAAATGGTAGTTCTGATTTTTTATTACTATGCCTTATGTTTCTCAAAGTGGAAAACTAAGTGTGGAGGATAATTAATGAAGGTTAATATTTATTGAGCACAGTATCACATAATGTGATGATGAATTCTTGGCACAAACTGTCTAATTTAATCCTTAATAATCTTAAAAGTTAAGGACTATAATCTCTGTCTTAACAGAGTTATAAATAATCCATAAATAATCCACCCAAGTGGCAGAGGGTAGATTTGAACCCAGAGCTTCAAATCAACGTAATGGTGAAGTGAGGTAGTGATTGAGAGATCACAGAATTAACTTCCAATATAGAAAGGCATATTGCTTACTGATGGCACATAATTCCTCCTCATACTCTGGAATAGTGGTTTTCATCTCTGGCTACACAGGAGAGTCACCTGTGGGACTTGTCGTGGGGGGTGGTGGGGGATATCCTTGCCTGGGGCCCTTAGATACCTGGCATTCAATTGGCCTGGCCTGGGGAGAAGGCACCATTTTTTTGTTCTTCTGGTTTTTTTTTTTTTCATCTCTCCAGGTAATTCTAAAGGGCAGTAAGACTGAAAACTACTAATAATTCTTCCCCACCCTATTAACCTAAGTACTCAACTACAATCATATTTACTAATCACCTATTTTGTTCTGAGCACTTCATCTATTATATATTCTATTTGCCCAGCCAAGTGCTTAGTTTTTCTTTTCCTTAAACAGAGGAAACATTAGAACTATACCTGTACGTTTTTAAATAACAAAATTTTGCCAGCTGTTCTTTGACAAGAGGAATGCAGGAAGAAAGGCAGCAAGACAGCATGAAAGAGTTTGAAAAACCCCTTCTTTAAGCATCCTTATACTCCTCAGGTAAAAAGGTCTTAAGAGTCAAACTAAAAAATTACATGGCAGGCTATGAGACTAAAAAAAAATTCCGTGATATATGTTAAAAAGAGATTTAAGGGGGCGCCTGGGTGGCTCAGTGGGTTAAAGCCTCTGCCTTCAGCTCAGGTCATGATCCCAGGGTTCTGGGATCGAGCCCCCGCATCGGGCTCTCTGCTCAGCAGGGAGCCTGCTTCCTCCTCTATCTCTGCCTGCCTCTCTGCCTACTTGTGATCTCTGTCTGTCAAATAAATAAATAAAATCTTTAAAAAAAAAAAAAAAAAAAGAGATTTAATATCCATGATCTGTCTGAATTCTGCTGGAGGTGACAGTTAAAACACTAAGTAACTGCTACTGTGGTGATAAATCCCACAGTCTTCCCATGGCGTTGTGATTATGCAGTGTGTTTTTACCCTGTAAGTCACCTGAACATAAACTTAACAGGTGCTAAAGAAATCAAAGCATTACATAAGCATATCCAAACAACAATATGGCTGGTCATAACACGTAGTGAGAAATGCAAGGATTTTGCTGACAATCCCATATGAGAGTCTTAGACCGTTTCACTTAAAGTTACTCACTGCACATCCCACTCACCCTACACCAAAAGTATAATGAAAACTGTTCCAGACAGTCTCAGACTTGCTGGCCCTTTTTTTTTTTTTTTTTAAACTAAAAAGAAGTGTGGAGATACCTGACAAGCGTGGAAGTTTGATCTAGGATTTGAACAGATGAAATGAAGAATATAATCACTTCAAGTTGCACAAAACTCTGGACTTCTCACAGAAACATTACAAAACTTCCTGCTTCCGGACAGCTCATTATTTGGTTCAAGTCTTCACATTCCTCTATTAGTCATGACCTTTTACAAAGCTCTCATTCCTTATTGTCTGAATAATGCCGGACTTTTAAATGTTGCAAATCAGACTTACAGGAACCCTTATCGAATGAAGAAACCACCCCAGAGTTCATGCCCAGAGGAGACTTAGATTACAGAGAGCCCTCAGTAACCTGAGCAGTGTGTGTCCATCCCATAGATTTCTTTTTAAAAACTGGCTGTAAACATACATCGCTCTGCATATCTCAAATATATACGTTCATCTATACATTCTTATCATACACGATCACAGGAACCTGCATTACTTCCGCAGAAATTGCCTCTGCAAGAAACTGGGAAGACCTGTGAATGTGTGAAAGGCAGAGGCACAACGAAAGTCAACCACTCATTACCAATTGTCACTGGGGTCTCATATGGCCCAGACCTGGCCACAGCCATATGTCAATAGGCTCAAAGGCACAGACGAGGAGAGAGAACCACAGGGTAAGTGGATGAGAAAACAAGGAGGAGGAAGCTCATAAATACGTGTACTTCCACTCCGCAGCTGAAGGGGTAGCCCAAAGGGCAGACCCTAAAGAAAAATCTTCCCTCCTGGGATCCATGACATCGCCCGGGCCTAAAAGGCCCGCTAAAGGGAGTTGGGGGGTTGGGGAGAAAGGGCAGTGTCTGTCCCCACTTCGGAGACCGAAACAAATAAAATTAAAGCAAGTTCTCACTTCCTGGTAGCCTACTCTTCCCGAAGGCCCCGACACAAGACGGACACCGCGGATGGAGTGCTCCCCAGGACCATGGGGGACGGGTGGGGGGACCCACCCCGGCCCTGCACCTCCCCGTCCTCGCCCTCCCCTCCTCCGGGCCTTACACGGTGACGTGACCGGAGCCGCGGACCACCACTGGGTCCGGCGAGTACTTGAGCAGCTGCTCCTCCAGGGCCCGCTCCTCGTCCTCCTCCTCCTCATAGATCTCGTCGAAATCCGCCATCCTGAGCCTCCAAGACCCCCTACTCAAAGGGGCCTGACTCCAAGGGCTGGGGCCGGGGGTACGGGCTGGCGAGGCGGCGGAGGCTGAGGGGAGTCGCCGCCGCGGGCTCAGAGGCCGCGGAAATCGGTCTTGGCTGCCTCGGCTCCGGCTACAGAGGAGATGGGGTCCCGGCCGTCGCCGCCGCCGCCATTATCATCAGGGATAACAACAACACAATGTCAACATCCGCCCAAAGGCCGACACCTCCACCAGTACCGCCGCTAACGCTGCTACTGCCGCCGCCGCCGTCGCCGCCGCCGCAGCAGCAGCAGCAACTCAGGCAACCACAGCAACAGCCAGAGCCAGCCGCAGCGGGAGCAGCCGGCTACGGCATCGCGAGACTTCCCGGGAGAGCGGGCGGGCGCGTGGGCGCCGGTGTGCGCAGGCTGGCGGGCGGGAGCGCGCACGTGAGGCCTCGCGCGTTCCCAGGGCGCCGTGCTTCCTTCCTCCGCTCCCCACGCCGCCGCCGCCGACGCCTCGGGAGCGCGCTCCCGCGGGCGAGGTCCCGCCCACTACCAAGTGGGTCGCGGTCCCGCAAGGGAGAGCTGGAAGCTTCAGAGGCGTTGACCCCGACTAAAAGGACGGAGCTCGGAGTGTCCGATGGAGCACTTAGTCACCTAAAGTAATCTCGAATCAAAACAACTAAAAATAAAAAACACAGGTTGGAATAGAGAATTTATAGTGTGTGTCTATTTATCTAATAATTGAATCTCGCTTTTTGTCAGTTTCCTTAGTCTTGATGAGAACCAGTGTCTGTACTTTCCAGTTTGAGGAGCCCAACAGAAACACTGCAAATATGTTTGTTCACTTTAATACAGGAATTTTCAAAAACATGTCCAAACTCAAACCTTGTGTCTTATCATCCCCTTAAATATAGTCCAATATATGAAGCCAATGATGCTACGGTTTTTAGAAGAAAGCTCACTGTAGTCATGACACGAAACAAAATTGACACATTCTCTGGATTCCAGATTAAAAGATGCAGTTTCCTGCCCCAACTCCCTCATCAACCATAACCTGTTTGCTTCCGTTAGAGCTTTAGGGAATCCCTTTTCCTTCCTTCCAGCTCCTCCCACCAAAGGGAAGAGTGGAAAAGGGAGGGGAGGGAGGGAAGAAATGAAGAGTATAACAGATTTTACTTACCTGCTTAGACCACTAGTAAAGCCTAAAATGTCACTTTGGATACTAAGTTTCATAGTCAAGAAACTGTCCAGACATACAAAAACTTCAGGAGCAGGAGTGAGCTCCTAAGAGTCCTGGATAATGATTATACACTATGGAGGCAGGAGAGGATAGCCACCCTGGATCCAGTGCTGGTCAGACCATTCTCCAAGTACAGTGTTCACATTCTAACTTTTCCCTTTAGATGGGTCAGTATTGACCTTGAGAAAATGCAGAAGAGGAGAATTAAGATAGCAAGAAATACCATTTTCTTACTGGAAATACTTGAAGGAAACGAGGGTAGCTAGCCAAGAAAAGATAAAGCGAAAGCACAAGAGTTGTATCAGACTTGCTGTATGCCTCCCTAGAGGACATGTATTTATTTATTCATTCATTCATTCAACAAATATTTAGTGAGCTCTAACTATGTGTCAGGTACTGTGTGTGTGAATGAGATACAGTCCCTCTAATCTAGTAGCTTATTTATCACGAAGGTGAGCAATTATAATTCCGTCAGGTGGTCCCAGAGGAGTTTACAGAGGGTACTAACAAAGCACACCGAAGGCAGTTTAGTTTGGTGGTTAGCAATGGGCTCCAAAGCGTGACTGCCTGCCTTTGAATCTCAACTCTGCCCCTTACCATGTGACCCTGAACAGGTCACTTAACCTCTCTGTTCCTCATGTGTAAAATGAGGATAAAAGTACCTAACCCCACTGGTCTGCTCTGCAGATACATGAAATGCTTAGAAGAGGGCCTGGCACACAGCAGCTATGGGGTAGCAATAAACGATGTCTAAGGTCCCTAATCAGCTCTATGAGGATGAACACAGTTGTCTGCATTGTTTAATGCTCTACGGTTTATGCTTTACGGTTAATGCTTTATGGTAAAGCACATACCTAACAAATCATTTAATAATCCCCAAGAACCCAGTGAGGTAACCAAGGAGGATGTAATTTCTTCCTTCACTTCAGAGACGCTATGTGACTTTCTCGTGGCCAAATGGCTATCTAAAAGTCAAACTTAGGGCTTCGACTTCAATGCACTGGTAAGCCAAGCTCCTGAATTTCCTTCTCCACAGGACACAAGAGGCCAGTGGCTGCATTCTCTTGAAGGAGTGCATGCAAATGGGAGGTAAGAAAAGGGAACAAGAGGAAGGAAAGTCAGTATGTTCCATGCCTGGCCCACATCCAGCGTGCGGTAACTGGAGCTCACCTTTCTGTGGAAGCAGTGGCCAAGATAAGGGACTGGTGCCCCAAAGTATTTAAATCATCACATAGCTGACAACTTCCCAAGGGCAGAGGAAGTCACCCACAGCTCCTTCCACCTCAGCATTTTCCCAAGTTCCTGCTTCAGAAAAGGAGCCCAATCAATGTTCTCCGAATTGAGGTGTGTTGTTACTAGCGCTAGCTCCAGAACGTCACGAGTTAATTAGGCTTCTGAGGACTGTGAGAATGTCACCCTTTATCTTAACACTGGTTCTGTGTGGGAGAAATGTTCTTATTCTAAGATCTATTCAACAGAGTGGTCTTTGTATCTCTCGCTGCCTCAGCGTAAGGTGGGGGCTGTCTTATTTTTGTTCTTCCTATTTCGCTCTTCTTTTTCCTGCTCTCAAAACCTGTCAGAGCTAGCAAAAGGGTGTGGGACCTGGGAATGAGGGGGAGACGATGAGAGAAGATGAGTCGAATATTTCCCTGATGATGGTTGACATCATAATCCCAAACTCCACCCCAAACCCTCCAGGGTCCAGTTTCCTGTCAAACTCCCGCTCTAGTCTCTTCCTGGGGACAAACTCCCATTTCTCATTTTATTTTCCCTCAGTATCCAGGAGTTCCCCTGCTCTCTACCATACAGACTCCTCTCCATTTGCCATCCCCTCTTCATTCCTGCTTCACACACTTACCACATTTCCCTTCAGACAAAAGCAAACAATAATAATGCTTCAGGAGCTTCAGGAGGCAACAAATCTTCCGTTGATTTTTAAAGCAGATATTCCTAGATTTGAAAACTTCCAAGTTCTGTCATTACCTAACTAAGTGGCTTTGGGCAGATTCAACTTTCTTTCTTTTTTTTTTTTAATATGGAACACTTCACAAATTTGTGTGTCATCCTTGCGCAGGGGCCATGCTAATCTTCTCTGTATCGTTCCAATTTTTGTATATGTGCTGCCGAAGCGAACACCAGATTCAACTTTCTAAGCTTCCTTCTCTTCATCCTGAAATCGAATCTATGTCGTGAAGTTATCAAAGGTCAAATGAGGTAATGCTATGGACTGAACTGTGTCCCCAACAAATTTATATGTGGAGGTACTAACCCCCATTGTGATGGAGGTAATTAGGTTTGGATGAGGTCATGAGGGTAGGTCCTCAGGATGGGATTAGTGCCTTTATAAGAAGAGACCAAAGAGCATGCTCTCCCCACCTCTCCCCCCTTGATGTGAGGATACAGAAAAACATTACCACCTGCATGACAGGAAGCTATCTCTCACCAGGAGCCAAATAAGCCAGGGCTTTGATCTTGGACTTCCAGTCTCCAGAGTGGTGAGAAATCAACTTCTGTTGTTCAAGCCACCCACTCTATGGTATTTTGTCATGACAGCCCAAGCTGACTCTGACAGCATGTAAACCCTCACTTTTCCACACATTCCTTCATTAAGTAAATATGCTCTGAATGACTCCCATGTGCTATATTCTCTGCCAGGAACTAGGGCTTAGCAATAAGATATTAAACAAAACACAATTCCTGCCTTCGTGTAGCATGAAGCCCATTGTGGAGGACTGACCAGTAATTACAAAAATGATTAACTGTTAGAATTGTAGTCAGTCCTGTGGAGAAGTACAGGGGACCATGAGAATAGTTAATGGTCCTAACTCACCCTGTGAAGCCAGGAACTCTTCTCCTAAGAAATGACATTTAACCTGATGATTCATTCAAAAGTATGAGGATGAGGAAATAGAGGAGAAGAGAAAGCTCCAGGCAGTGGGACCAGCATGTTGGTAGCAACAGTCTGGAACACTGTAAGAGAATATCATAGACTTATAAACAACAGAAATTTATTTCTGCACCCTCATGACCTAATCATCTACCAAAGTCCCCACTTCCCAATACCATCACACTGAAGTTAAGATTTCAACCTATGAATTTTGGGGAAACACAAACATTCAGCCTATAGCAAAGTTTAAAGACTCTAAGGCAGAAAAGAGAATGACCTAAATCAGGTTCAAACTAAAACCAGCGTGGTTGGACCATCGTAAGGAAGGCAGAGCCAAACTGAGATGGGGTCAAGGAGGTTGAAAGAGACTTGAAGGCCTTGGTAAAGAGTTTGAAGTTCATATGTGAAGCCAGGCAGTGTGCCTAAGAAAGCCAGTGCATTTTAAAATTCCCAAATGAGACGCCAGTAGTTCAACCTACCCAGAATGCATCCCCTACTTCTTTTAAAAACAGCACATCCCCAAGATGACTTGTGGTAAATCATACCCCCCTCCCCCCATGCTCAGTACATGTGACTGGGTTAAGCTGACCATATCCCCAATCGTAAGAGTGAGCTCATGGCCTAAAGCTAGCAAGTCAGAGGACGTAGGATAACCTTGGGTCACAGTGATTGGTTTAGACACATGATTCAGAAGACCCAATGAGATTCAGTGTACCAGGACTTTTAATAGAACTCTGGGGAAGGGGAAAAATCTCTTTTTCTATGGATATACCAGGAACTGTGCTGTTCTTGCAATGGTAGAAAATGGTTGGGAATGATGCCAACCCTGAGGGAAGCAGGGCCAAGGAATGAAGCAAACATGACTTTGTCTTGATGATCATGTTTGAGTCCCCTGAGTTCAGCCACACCTAAAGATCTCCGGGGTTTGTAGAAGAGGATAATGGATTCAGTTTGTGGAATGTGAGACACCCAATGGAGATGACCGGTAGAACATAGATAAAGATATTAGAAAGATAGATGGATAGAAGTGTGCACGCATGAATGGATAGACAGATAATATAGAGAGCAGAAAAGGGAGAAAAGGGGAACAAGAGGCTCAAATCAGAAGTCTTGGCAGGAAATAAATACATTGGGATCCTTCAGCCAATAGATGATAAAAGTACCATAGCAATGACCGAGATGGCAGGGCATCTGCGTGGCTCAGTCAGTTGAGCAACTGACTCTTGGTTTTGGCTCAGGTTCTGATCTCATGGGTCGTGGGATTAAACCCCATGCTGGGCTCAGCGCTCAGTGGGGACTCTGGTTGGGATTCTCTCCTCTCCCTTTGCCCCTCCCTCCACCCCCCTCTCTCTAAAATCAATCAATCAATCAATCTTAAAAAGAAAGAAATGACACAGATGGTTCAAAAGCCAAGATAAGATGGCCTAGGGAGAGCGTGAGAAGGTAAGAGGATCTAGAATGAAGGAATTTCAGTTGATTCCAGATAGGGAGAGGAGGAGGGACTGACAAGGGAAATTGAAAGGAAACAGCCAAAGCGGCAAAAGGCAAACTGAGACAGCATGGTGTTACAAGTGAAAAAAAAAAGAAAAAAAAAAAAAGGAGGTAGTAATCATGTGAGATGCTGCAGAAATGATGCACGATAGCAACCAAAGAGTAGAGTGTCACTGTATCAAAGAGAAGGACTTAATCAATTTCTATAACCAGCAATTTGACAGAGCCAATCCAGAACCCCTCAATTCTGCAAACATACAGAAATCCTAAATCAAATAGGGGAGGCTGGGTGGCTCTCTCGAGACTGACTCCCGGTTTGGGCTCAGATTGTGATCTCAAGGTTTTCAGATCAAGCCCCTTAACAGCTCTGTGCTCAGCGGGGAGTCTGCTTCAGGATTCTCTCTCTCTCTCTCCCTTTGCTCCTTCCACCCTCACACGTACGTACTCTCTCTCTGAAATAAATAAATAAAATCTTTAAAAAAAAATCCTAAATCAAATATAACCATTAAAAAGCAGTAATAAAGGGGAGCATAGCTCCCCACTCTTTAGGCGAGGGTTATACATAAGACTTCCTTCCAAAGATTGTGGTATGGAAATTAAGGAAGACTAACCACTGTGGTGACATCGACAAACACTACGGCAGCCAGGTGATCAAGGTCAAAACAACTGTCAATCATGTTGATAATAGGTACCTTTGTTATGATATGGTGAAAATGGCACCTAACCTCTCTGATCTAACCCCCAAACACCCATAACCCCACTCTACTCATGAGAAAAACATTAGACAAATTCCAATAGTGAGACATCCTGCAAAATACCTGAACAGTACTCCTGACAACTGTCAAGGTCATCAAAAACAAGGAAAGTCTGAGAAACTGTGAGAGCCAAGAGGAGCCACAGAAGATATGATAACTAAATGTAACGTGGTATCCTGAACAGGATGCTGGAACAGAAAGAGGAAATTAGGTAAAAACTTAGGAAATCAGAAATAAACGATGGGGGCACCTGAGTGGGTCAGTGGGTTAAAGCCTCTGCCTTCCGCTCAGGTCATGGTCCCAGGGTCCTGGGATCGAGCCCCGCATTGGGCTCTCTGCTCAGCTGGGAGCCTGCTTCCTCCTCTCTCTCTCTGCCTGCCTCTCTGCCTACTTGTGATCTCTGTCTGTCAAAATAAATAAATAAAATCTTTTAAAAAAAAAAGAAACTATGGACTTTAGTTAATAATAATGTGTCAATATTGGTTCATTAAATTTAGCAAACATACCTGAAGATGTGAATAACAGAGAAAATAGAGAGTATAGGGAACTGTCTGGACTATTTTCTCAATTTTTCCTAAAGTCTAAAAGTGCTCTAAAAAATAGTCTATTTTAAAAAATAGTAATATAGTAAATATTAAATTCAAAAGAGAGGAGAAATGTTTTACTGCCAGAAGAAAAGATGAAGCCTAAAGCTTGACTGATAGATTCATAACCTATACCATGGAGCTGGGAGAGAGAAGTGGGTAGGGAGGGAGTTATTGGACCAGAGGTTAATTCCCAGGAGCTGAAGGCAAGAGTTCTAACACTCATGTGATAAGAGACTTGGCCATGGGTAGATTTAAGGCAAGAGCACGGCATCCAACCAGGAGGAGCTGCAAAACAGAAACCAGAAAAACTCTGCCCATGGGCCCAGGGAAGCAATGTGGAAAATTTTTCTCCTGGAATTCTGTACTTATCAACCCGCTTAGCCTCACAGACATCCTTTTAACATAAGTAGCATTTTCATCCCTATTTTACATATATGCAAACTGAGGGCAAAGGAAATTAGGTAACTTGGGCCAAGGTAACATAGCTAGAAAATGGTAGAACCAGGATTTGAGCCTAAACAGTATGTTTCCTCATCTCATGAGCTTATCACTTTGCTCTACAGTCTTAAACACCAGCAGAGAAATATTCACATTATTTCCCTCTATTTTCGCAATACCTACAACAGTGCCTTATAAATATAGTTAGTGCCTTATAAACATTAAATAGATGGCTACGTGTATGAAATCATCCTGTTTCCATTTTTCCTTGATGATTTCACACTGTATATACATATTTACTGTGTCTGTCCCCAAATATTTTTATAATAAACTAAAATCCATATGGATTCTCAGATTACCCTAGAATAATATTTATGGCCATTCACTTGATTCAAAGCCATGTTGTAGTGGCGCCTGGGTGGCTCAGTGTCTTAAGCCTCTGCCTTCAGCTCAGGTCATGATTTCAGGGTCCTGGGATCCAGCCCTGCATCGGGCTCTCTGCTCAGCAGAGAGCCTGCTTCCCCCTCTCTCTCTGCCTGCTGCTCTGCCTGCTTGTGATGTCTCTCTCTGTCAAATAAATAAAATCTTAAAAAAAAATTAAGCCATGCTGTAAATATGACATGCAAGTTCTAATGGGTTTTCTCCATTGTCATCTTTTAAATTCACAAGTGTCTGGAGACTTCTCCTAAAATTATAGGCTCACAGAACCAGAATGCAGCCCAGAAGTCATCTTGTCCACATTGGCTCCAAGACGTTGCTTCAGGCTAAATCATGTGGTGTTTGCTTCTTTATTGAACATCTCAATAATTACATTAAATAGCTATAATATATTGAGCATATGCAAAAATATGATGTTCTTCCACAGTTTTTAAAGATTGCATTCTTTAAGGTCTAAGACCATGTCTTGGATTTTTTTTGTTTTTTTTCCTTCCAATCCCTTGAATATTGCCTGGAATCCAAGAGTCATTCAATACCTCT